CAAAGATTGGTTGATAACTTTTAGCGTTAGAGCTAGCGTTCACAAGGATCAATAAAGTGAAACAAGGGCCATAAATAACTCTAGACGTAATAAACGGGAATTGCTGAAATTCAATAGGCTTCTTCGTTTCAGCAATCTAAATAAGGCATATAAATTTCAGAAATATCGGATGATAACTTTTGATGTGAGAGCGTTCACAAGGATCAATAAAGTGAAACAAGGACCATAACTCTAGACGTAATAAATGAAAATTACCGAAATTCAATAGGCATCTTTGTTTCAGTAATCTAAATAATGCATATAAATTTCAGAAAGATCGGGTGATAACTTTTTGCGTTAGAGCGTTCACAAGGATCAATAAAGTGAAACAAGGGGCATAACTCTAGACGTAATAAACGGGAATTGCTGAAATTTAATAGGCTTCTTCGTTTCAGTAATCTAAATAATGCATATAAATTTCAGAAAGATCGGGTGATAACTTTTTGCGTTAGAGTGTTCACAAGGTTCAATAAAGTGAAACAAGGGCCATAACTCTAGACGTAATAAACAGAAATTGTTGAAATTCAATAGGTTTCTTCGTTTCACTAACTTAAATATTGGATATAAATTTCACAAAGATTGTATGTTAACTTTTGGCATTAGAGCGTTCACAAGGTTCAACAAGGGCCATAACTCTAGACGTAATAAACGGAAATTATTGAAATTAAATAGGATTCTTCATCTCACTAATGTAAACAACATATATCAATTTTAAAACAAGCGTTAGAGCGTTCACAAGAAATTGTGGACGACGGACGGACCGACGGACGAACCGACAGATGGACGGACGGGGTGACGGCAATATACGTCCACATTTCAATGTGGGTGTATAAAAATTATAATGGATTGATGAATAGTCCGACAAAGGGGAAACAAAGGATTAAGTCAGTCAATCAAGGAGGATTAAGTAGATAATCAAGGTAGGTTTGTAGATGGTATAACACGATAAATATGTTGATCACTTAATTACCTAATCAATCCAGCCTATTATCAACGATAATCGGGTTGAGTGGTAATTATACAATCAGTAAACTATATTAATTTTGGAATTTTGAATATTGTTCACCATGTCTTGATGTCCGATTGGGCATATTCCCGGTCGGACAATTTTGGGCGTTTGGAAAAAAGATTCGGACAAGTTCGGAATATACGGGCAAAATCCCATCACTGCCAAGTACAAAGCTGATCCATTCAGAATTGCGGCTTGTAAACGATAAGCACAAAAGTTGGGCGTGACTCTGCTCCTAGGGGTTGGGACATGCAGTTGTCGTCCTTAGGCTATAAGGAATACATATCCCAAGTTCAAAGACGATCCATTAAGAATCATGGCCTGTAGGCAACACACAAAAACACAAAGAAAAGATAGGTTGCCAGGCAACATAACATACGTCCACAGCAGCTATATCGTCCGGGCAGTCAACAAAAGTTGTTGCATATTTTTACTTTTTTCGAAGAGTAACAACTCATTAAGTAATTATCAGAAAACCATTAGAATTTGTTCTGTTTTTATAAAGTTCTGCCCCATGCTAACGTTTAGTATACAAAATTTTTAAAGGATTCTTTGTCTCATGACCTTAAACACTGTGTATAAATTTAAAGTCAATCGGATATTAACTTTACCCTCTAGAGCATCCACAAGATTTTTCAAAGTGATCAAGGGCCATAACTCTGGCAGTAATTATCGGAAATCGCTGAAAATCAATAGGCTTCTTCGTCTCATGACTTTAAACACTGTGTATAAATTTAAAGTCAATCTGATATTAACTTTAGCCTCTAGAGCGTCCACAAGATTTTTCAAAGTGATCAAGGGCCATAACTCTGGCAGTAATTATCGGAAATCGCTGAAAATCAATAGGCTTCTTCGTTTCATGACCTTAAACACTGTGTATAAATTTAAAGTCAATCTGATATTAACTTTAGCCTCTAGAGCGTCCACAAGATTTTTTGAAGTGATCAAGGGCCATAACTCTGGCAGTAATTATCGGAAATCGCTGAAAATCAATAGGCTTCTTCGTCTCATGGCCTTAAACACTGTATATAAATTTAAAGTCAATCAGTTATTAACTTGAGCCTCTAGAGCGTCCACAATTGCTTGTGGACGCTCTAGAGGCTAAAGTTAATATCCGATTAACGGACGGACGGACGGACGGGGGTGACAACAATATACGATCACATTTCAATGTGGGCGTATAAAAATGGGTATGGCTCTGCCCCTGGGGGTTGGGTTATCACCAAACCAGCGGCTTCCAGGCAGGATATGCCCACATTTTCGAGAGATGGAGCTAAAAAGAAAGTGATTTTTCCTACAATCAAGGGCCATAATTCAGGGAATTACAATTCGATATGCGGAAATATCGAAAGGAACCGAGATCTTTGTGTTATGAACTTACATTTCAAGTGTCAACAAAATTGGGTAAAAATTGTGACCTCTTTAGGGTCCACAACCTTGATATACCATATTTTTAGGCTATTTGAGAATGAAGGGCAGACATTTTGTCTGTCAGTTGTGGGCCGATTTTCACGAAATTCAAACTCAGCCGTCCTTAGGGTGTAACGGTGATATAATAATACATTTTTTTAAATCGGATAAAAATTATGACCTCTATAGAGTCCACAAGCTAAAAATGCGATTTTCTGTACAATCATGGGTCATAATTCAGGAAGTTATGGTCTGGGATATGCACAAATATCGAAAGGAACCAAGATCTTTGGGTTACTTATAAACTTACATTTCAAGTTTCAACAAAATCGGATAAAAATTGTGACCTCTATAGGGTCCACAACCTTGATATACCATATTTTTACGCTATTTGAGAACGAACAGCGGCCATTTTGCCTGTCAATATTGGGCCGATTTTCACGAAATTCGAACTCAGCCGTCCTTAGGGTGTAACGATGATATAATAATACGTTTTTTTTTAAATCGGATAAAATTTATGACATCTATAGGGTCCACAAGCTAACCAGCGGATGCCAGGCAGGATACGCCCACATTTTCGAGAGATGGATTGAGACCAAGCTAACAAGAAAGTGATTTTTCATACAATCAAGGGTCATAATTCAGGAAATTTCAATTCGATATGCGCGAATATCGACAGGAACTGAGATCTTTGGGTTATAAACTTACATTTCAAGTTTCAACAAAATCGGATATAAATTGTGACCTCTATAGGGTCCACAACCTTGATATACCATATTTTTACGCTATTTGAGAACGAGGGGCGGTCAGTTTTGGGCTGATTTTCATGAAATTCGAACTCAGCCGTCTTTGGGGTGTAACAGTGATATATTAATAAGTTTTTAAAATCAGATGAAAATTATGACCTCTATAGGGTCCACAAGCTAAAAACGCAATTTTTTCGTACAATCAGGGACCATAATTCAGGAAGTTACGGTCTGATATGCGCGAATATCGAAAGGAACCAAGATCTTTGTGTTATAAACTTACATTTCAAGTTTCAACAAAATCGGATAAAAATTGTGACCTTTATAGGGTCCACAACCTTGATATATGATATTTTTACGCTATTTGAGAACGAACGGAGGCAATTTTGTCTGTCAGTTTTGGGCCGATTTTCACAAAATTCGAACTTAACTGTCCTTAGGGTTTAACGGTGATATAATAATACGTTTTTTTAAATCAGATAAAAATTATGACCTCTATAGGGTCCACAAGCTAAAAACGTGATTTTTCTTACAATCAGGGGCCATAATTCAGGAAGTTACGTTCCGATATGCGCAAATATCGAAAGGAACCAAGAACTTTGAGTTATAATCATACATTTCGAGTTTAATCCAAATGGGATAAAAATTGTGACCTCTACAGTGTTCACAAGCTAAAAACGTGATTTTTCGTACAATCAGGGGCCATAATCCATGAAGTTACAGTCCGAAATACGCCAATATCGAAAGCAATCGAGATCTTGTGGAGATAAACCTATATTTCAAGTTTCGTTGAAATCGGATAAGAATTGTGACCTGTAGAGTGTTCACAAACAATTTGTGAGTGTTCACAAACAACTTTGAGTTATAATCATACATTTCGAGTTTAATCCAAATGGGATAAAAATTGTGACCTCTACAGTGTTCACAAGCTAAAAACGTGATTTTTCGTACAATCAGGGGCCATAATCCATGAAGTTACAGTCCGAAATACGCCAATATCGAAAGCAATCGAGATCTTGTGGAGATAAACCTATATTTCAAGTTTCGTTGAATCGGATAAGAATTGTGACCTGTAGAGTGTTCACAAACAATTGTGGACGGACGGACAGGGGCGACGACAATATACATCCACATGAAAATGTGGGCGTATAAAAATGTGACTGATATTTCAAGATTTCGATTGGCAAGTTATAAGGTGCCAGTGAAACCTGGCATAGTTTTAGTTTGAACATATTTTATTACCAAACATCAAACTATAAATCACATCAAAGTAGCTCTGAATAAAAAGAGGAAAAGAATCAACAACATCACTTCCAAACATTATGTTCAATATGATTAGTCATGTTTAATTTGAGTGGAATATGATTGAACTGTGTTATGCATGGTTGCTTCACAGGTCTGGTTCTAAAATTTAGAATCTAAATTAATATTTTTATTATTCGTTATATTTACAACATTTATAAAGCGCACGTCCCTCACACAAATGTTTAGAGGTGCAATAGGATACAATAGGATATCACATCAAAATAATCAAGTATATAAATATATATAGAACTTGAAACATAAATCTCTAAAACATTTGTAATATAATTGTAAAAAGTCATAATAAATATTAGCTAAAACACTAATAAAGATATAGATGTATTTAGAAGTTTAATCTGTCTTTCTTTGTGTTTTCTAGCCCAAACACTAAGGTGTGGGGGAATGATTGGTCCTTGGGTACTTACTAAAACTGGAGACCAAAAGGTTGATGAACACAACAAGTCTAAACATTGTAAATGTTTGGCAAGGCTTACCTCTCTCCATTGCATCAACATTTTCATGATTCTTTCTGTGAGGTAGAATAGATAGATACCACCTATTACAGTAGTGGATTTTAAAATATAACTTGTATCACCTTCTGCTGCTAAACCAAATGCCTACAAAACAAAAATCAGGTTCAGCATGTACTATACTATTCAAAAAAAGTAGGGGATACTAAAATATGCAAATGACTACGAAAAAAGTCACTATAGAACCTAACAGAAGAAACATTTCCAGTTACATGTGACGCCCAAACGCACCAATAGCTACCGCATGGAATGCAGGTGATGCTTGGGATCATCATGGGGGTCCAACCCAAGATTTGCACGACTCTGACTTTGAATGTTACAGTCATTGTGGCATTGAATTCCAGGGTGGAAACATCAGTTTAATTGTTTTAGTGACCAGAAAACAAATTTTGATATGCGTCGGCTTACCCAAAATGAAAGGTTACGTGCCCTTGGCATGCTACAGATCGGCACAACACAGGCGGTTGTGGCGCGGACGATGAATGTTTCTCAGTCTGTCATAAGCAGGCTATGGTCCAGATACCGTGATACACAATCTGTACAGGACAGACCACGCTCAAGTCGACCAAGGGCGACAACTCAAGCCCAGGATCGATTTATCCGTACCTTGGCCTTGAGAAATCGTGTCATCACAGCAAATCAGATCAGCGCTCGTCTTCAAACAGACACTGGTGTGAGAGTGAGTGGCCAGACGATTCGGAATCGACTGCATAGGGGTCACCTTCGCGCCCGACGTCCTCGCGTGATCCCTTGTTTGAGAGATCATCACATTCAGGCAAGACGTCGTTGGTGTAGGGATCGTCAACACTGGGATAATCGACGCTGGAGCAATGTGATGTTTTCAGATGAGTCAAGGTTCACTGTTGATTTTTTGGACAGACGTAGGAGGGTGTGGCGTCGTCGAAACGAGCGCTTCCAAGACGTTAACGTCATCAGACATGATCGATTTGGGGGTGGTTCTGTTATGGTGTGGGGAGGCATCACTGTTGCTGGAAGAACGGCTTTACATGTTGTTGCAGGGCGTGTTACAGGTCAGTACTACCGGGACAACATCTTGGCAGTCCATGTTGTGCCGTTCGCACGACGTCATGGCCGCCGTTTCATCTTCCAGGATGACAACGCAAGATGTCACAGGGCCAGGATCGTTACAGGTTACCTCCAACAACAGAACATCACCACATTACCTTGGCCAGCACTGAGTCCCGACCTCTCCCCCATCGAGCATGTCTGGGACATGCTTGGACAGAGGTTACGTCAACGTCAACAACGTCCTGCCAATGTCCAAGAACTTGCTGCTGCGTTGCAACAGGAATGGGACAATCTGGACCAAAATGACCTTAGACGTCTCATTAGGAGTATGCCACGTCGGATCAATGCTTGTTTGGCAAACAGAGGAGGATTTACCCGTTACTGACTTGGTTGTGATGCTGTGGTAACTTTGCTGTTTGACCCCGGGTATCATTTTACCCTTATAATGGTCAGTCTGTGCCTTACTTAGTCTAACGATCATTTGGAATAAATCGATGAATGTGAACTTCATTTAATTTTGTCATTTGTTTCTTCGTCAGTTTCATTAGGTGACTTTAATAACACTTAAAAATCAAATACCCCTACTTTTTTTGAATAGTATATTTCCACAATTCTTAATACCAGCACTATATGCCCCAACTAAAATAAATTAATTGCACTTTTATCTTTTTGTATATCATCAAGTTATCAATTGCAACCTGCTTATCTATATTTAGCCTACGCAGAAAATGCTCATGATCAAACTTTACATCATACACCAAGTTTCATCACTATCCATTAATGAAAATCAAAGTTATTGCAGCCTGAAGCATTGACAAATCAAATTGCTTATCTCTGCTTAGCCTTATCGGAAAAAGTAAATCATCAAACTAAGTCAAGACATTCACTGTGTGTAGTTAAACACTTGTTTTGGTGTAAAGTTTGGCCTTTAAAGTGTGAGGTCACCACACATACACTGGCAATGGTGTAACTGATAACATTCATGGTGTAATCCCACACTTTCTCTAAGGATACACTTTTCGAGAAATAAATTTATCTCCGAAGGTGTAACGTTCCACTCACAAAGAGAATCCTTATTCGTAGAAAGTGTAGCATTATACAGCAGCTATATTTGTCTTCACTAAGTGTAATGTTTGCTATCATAATTTCATAAAGATAAACCTTTCTCTTAGATTGTGTTACATCACCGGAAAATTGTATTTTAATTTATGAAGTGTAATGGTTGCAATCATAAATAGAAACATTTCCCTTAGAAAGTGTTACGTCATTGCAAAAAAGGAAACATTTCCCTTAAAAGGCGTAACTTTTCACTCACAAAGGGAATGCTTACTCGTAGAAAGTGTAGCAATATCCGACAGCTATATTTGTCTTCACTAAGTCTAATGTTTGCTGTCATAAAAAGAAACCTTTCTCTAAGATTGTGTTACGTCACCAGAAAATTATATTTCTCTTTATTAAGTGTATTGTTTGCAATCATAAAGAGAAACATTTTCCTTAGTTATCCGAAAATGCGGTTCATAGGCATACAGGCTCGATGAATGTTAGGGGGGCAGAACCTGAAATTCCCGAAAAAATTTCAAGTTACAGACGTCCTAACCCCACCCCCACCCCAAAGAAAATTGACGGCCGCACACACGTTTTCTTGCTATTCCAGTCTCTGAATACAGCAAGTGGTCAGATATAGCCTAACTTAGGTGGCTGACTCGAATTCAAATCAACCACTCAATCGTTTATAGTCCACGAAGACGGGACCGTCGGGAGCAAATTTTGAAAATTTAACAGCCCAAATCGTGTTTTCCTGCTATTCCAACCCGTGAATACCGCAACTTAAATGTGGTCCAATATAGCCTACCTTAGGTGGCTTCCCTGAATCCCAAACAACCAATCAATCGTCGCTGGGTATGGGGGCCTCGGGCTCCCTGAGAAAATTTTGAAAATTTAACCGCCACATATGCTTGTTACTGCTATTATAGCCCATGAGTTAAGCAACTTTGAAGTTTCCAATCGTTTTGTAACCGAAATCCCACTCAATGACGACCCGGATTCCAAAGTTTCCAATCAATTTGTAACCGAAATCCCACTCAATGACGACCCGGATTCCAACCATCCAATTGGACTGTTGCAGCTGCAATCACGAATAATAATCGATGCCCGAAAAATGTGGCACAAAGTAGAGTGGCTCCAGACAAAATGTTTTAATCCATAGTCAATTCAGAACAAATTCACGGTATTCAACTAAAAGAAAAGTAAAATTAGTGTTTTGTTAGATTTCGGGCACTTTATTTTGCCAACTAGATGAAATAATAATTTCCACTTTACCTGTCTGCCCGAAAAGTCAGATTGCCTGAATGTGTGGGTCATTTAGATCTAATTTTTTAGATGCATATCTTAAACATATTAAAAATGTACATATGGCAGATCCAAACTTTGACTTCAATTGTGGTATAAAAGGTTGCCAAAAAGTATTTAAACATTTCCTGCCTATAAAATTCATGTCTATAGATATCACTATAAATTTGAAAATAAATCTTCTGATGATGTACAGCTAAGTAGCAATTCGGGTTCAATATTGGGTTGTATGTTGTGTAACAAAGAAAACATTAAAAGTGCTAAAGATTTGACAGTGCATTTGAACGAACATGTAAAGAATGGAAGTCCCGTTGACTGCCCTGTTAAAGGGTGTACATACTCTTACGGTGTTGCATCTTCTTTCACATCACATATCAGTCGCTCTCATAGACTCATAAATTTAAATGTCTTGAAATATGAATATTATTCTCAACATGATAATCCTACTATCGGTAGTAGTGTAGTAGGGCATATCAAATAATACATATCAATTTCATACAGATCGGATGATAACTTTTGTCGTCTGAACGTTTGCTGAAACTCAATAGGCTTGTTTGTTTTACTAATTTAAACGATACCTATAAATTTCATACAGATCGGATAATAACTTTTGTCGTTAAAGCATTCACAAGGTACAACAAAGTGAAAAAAGGGCCATTACTCATGGTGTAATTAACGGAAATTGTTGATCGGTTGATAACTGTTGTCATTAGTGCGTTCAAAAGATTCAACAAAGTGAAACAAGGGCCATAACTCTAGATGTAATTAACGGAAATTGCTGAAATTCAATAAGCTTCTTTGTTTTACTAATCTAAATAATGCATATAAATTTCATACAGATCGGATAATAACTTTTGTCGTTAGAGCATTCACAAGGTACAACAAAGCAGTGTTTAAAATTTACGTTGGTCCATCGGCCCGGCGCCGATAAATAACTGGACGGGCCGACATCAGTTTATTTTGAAGATGGCCGGTCAGCCCTGTGAGCCGACTGTTTTTGTCATGGATATTTTCTCCATGGTTCTATCAAATTCTCCTTGAAAATATTTATATTGCCCCTATTTATATCCGAAATATATTTCATCCAGATATTTAACAGTATTTCATTACCGGAAATGAAAATAAAATTGTCCACCGAAAGAAATTATCGTTGTAGGAGTGAGGTTGTGCTTGCAAATATCAGCACGCTCCAAGAGTTCGGGAAGATATTATTTAACCATTTTGATCAAGTGTGGAACAGATGAGTGTGTGTTCCGATGGTATGCCTTACTTATACTGTCTTATTTGTCTTTATCCGATATTGAATACACATGCATAATCCGGCATATTATATTCCTTCAATGGAGAGATCGAAACACGTATGCTACTAAACTAGGTCAGTCCATCTACTGTACTGTCATGAATCGAAGAATAAATATTCACGTGATATAAAACCTTTGTCTTGTAAAAATAAAATTGAAAAACCAGAGCTGAAAATTCCCTGAAAGCCTAAATACGGGTAACAATATAATTCCAGCGAGGTAAAACGAGTGGCCTTTCCCGCCATTATTTCCAACTCTCGTGATTTAATAGCAGACTTGATTATCAAGTCTATTTCTTTAATGAAGATTTCACTACCGTACTGCAGACCCAAGTCTTCGAAATAAGGCATGTGCAATATGTCATATAGGAAGAATAACAAAGAGTTTATCGTTCCATAAATATAGGCA